GTATTTTTACCGTCTTTATTTTACAGTTAAAATATATGTTTATTAAATGAAGTCTAATGTTACAACTAATCATGGATCCCTTTAAACCCTCAATGAAAATGGATGTGATGTGTGACTGATACACTAATTTATGGAAATGAAAACAAAAGGTTTTTGCAGACACAGACACCATGTTCCATTCTGAATATAACTGTTTTATTTTTATTTACAAATGACAACAGAAACTGTTCCTCATAACCACTGCCTGGACAGAATGCTTCTAGTTTTTACCATCTCCAGTCAGAACTGAACCGTCAGTGAAGAGATCTGTTTCTGTGTTTTTGCTGAACTCAGGGACCCTTTCATGGTTTTGTCTGGTGGTCTTTCATACGACACGGTGGGAAGGAGAGCCTGCTTGACTGTGATGCATGGAAAGAGCACTGCCGTCCTGGAGATGGACTACCCCATTGTAGACTTTTTAACGTTATGTGAAACTCCTTATCCAAATGGTGAGCAACAAATATGGCTGCTGCCATGTGATCACACTCTAAAGTGATGTTTGCCTTGTTCATGCTGCGCTGCTTTGTTGTCAGATTTTCAGGAGCCTTATGCTGTGGTGGTCCTCCTCGAGAAGGATTTAGTTGTAATAGACCTCGGACAGATTGGGTAATTATTCATCTTTCTGAGTTTGTCCGTTGTTTAAAGATTGGACCTATGGGAGGAATCTTCTGCCAACAGAAACGGAGTTTGAGTTGCTCAGACTGAATCTGTATAATGTCAAATCAAATGCATTGGTTTGAAAATTAATCTCACTAAATTGAAACTGAATTTAATGATTTGAAACTGTATGTTGTATTAATATTTTAGTTGGATTACTTTCACTTTCAGTGCTATAATTCAATTTCAGTTCAAAAATATATTTTTGTGTCACATCCTGGTCCTTGAAAAAGCCACAGAGTAATCAAACTCAGAATGACAAATTTATGTTTCACATCAGTGAAGCTTCTTTTCTGTAATGTAACAGAGTTGATGCAATCCACTGTAAAAGAGACAAAGTTATTTTATTGCAGTGATTAATTTCACCTGTTAGAAAATGTTACATCACATCATGAATCAGTCAGCAGCAGCGTTGCACCGGCTCGGTTCATTTAGAGTCTGGATGAGTTGAATATCGGACCATAGGGATGGGTACCTTTGACATTTGAATCGATTCGGTACCAATATCTGGTACCTGAATTGGTACCGGTACTTAACTGAACCAATTTTCGGTACTTTGTGTGTTGTTTTTCAATAATAAACTTTTATTTTAACATATTTCTCAATATATAAAATTTAACAAATATCAAGACAGCATCCAACTCTTTGTATTGTAACATGAGTTGTGTAACTTATTGATTTAAAGTGAAAACTCTTGAAAACAACAAGACTGTTTTGTCTTATTGCACAAATTAAAATCCAGCTCCACGTGTTTCTATTGATGTCATTTCCCCACTAAAAAAATTGTGTGATGGAGGTCCATGGAAGACAAATAAGTTTAAATCAAATAAACAAAAGAGGATGCAGTTAAAATAAATAACAGGTATTTAAGCTACATTTTGAACATCCAAAACACGTCCAACACTTCAAGTTAGCTGCTTGTGCTCTTTAGGTCAGGCGACTTCAGACTGTCAGGAAGCTCCTCTGTTTTCCTCGTCGGTCTCTGTTTAATGG